AAACTTCAGCAGAACTTTACTTTAAGCTTTGGTCAAGAAATATAAATCGGAAACAAACAATTGAACAACATATGTAATGACCCACAAAACTCCAAAAAAGGCAGTCAATTAATAAACATTTTACCCTACCGAGCGAGAGATCTCTCTCCACTTTGAAACCCGTTCTTCCTTGAAAATCAAAAATCCAATTGCAACAGCGAACAACATCACTTACAATCAAGTGGACACATTTATTCATCCTTAAATAAGCACCGCATTTTCCCCCTACTTTTCCCCAAGAACCGTTCTTTCTCTAAACACAGAGCAGCATATCGTCATTCAAACCAGACTTCATTATAACCATTTTAATTACGCTTCTCTGTTCTTTTCGGAAAAGAAAATCTCTTGGCGCATTTTTCTGGGCAGAAAGCACTTTTTCCGCCAAATCTTCGCGTTGCGAGAAATTAGGGGAAGGGATTTTTTTTAAAAGGGAAACGTCCCCATTTTATTTCTGCCCAATTCTCTAAGGTGCTATTACGAGTTTTAAATGTTGCAATGAGATTACATTTTACAACTTATGGCCTCGCGTTGGCACCGGATTCAAGTCGTTTTGGATTTTCAAAGGGACGCAAATAAAGGATTTTTTTTTATTCAGTTTCTTCAAATGAGCTACGCTGTGTAGGGTACTTCCTTGCTGAGAATATATCTTGCTTTGTTACGTAGGTGGGATATTTGTGAGAAAATGTATGTTTTTGGTTTAACTTGGAAATAATACGTTTAAGGTATTCGATTAGTACTGAATTGAGAGCAATTTTCGAAGTGTGACAAAAAATCAGGCGATTTTTCGCGCATTCTTCCTATATTCCGAGGTATACGTAAATTATAAAAAAAATAAATTAACAAAACCAATGTACTTTAAAGTGAAGAACAATGTTAATCGGTATTTTTATAAAACCAAATCCTTCTTTTGACCTAGAATAGAGGTGGCCAACCCAAATGATCTTGCTGGCCACTTTGGAAATGCGCCGGCAGTGGTTACACAGGTTTCGGGTGCCAGTTCCAGCGGTTCCATGGATGCTTGTAGTGATTCGAAATCCACTTCAAACTGTAGGTCCCTGTCCTAATAGGATCTTAGAGAGTTGTGGGGATAGTGTGACTCGCGTCTGTAGTACATCTTCAAGCTACACCTGGGTAGTGCTCAATGATTAAGTCAGTGGTGCAGCCCTTGCTTATGGTATAAGGATTAACTGTATGTATTGCCAGCTGCATTAGATCTATTAGCATTTGAATAAACTTAAGTATCGTAGATATGAAAAATAAAATTCCGGAAATTCGATATATTCTAATTTTTTTTTCTTCTTTTTTTTTTTTTTTTTTTTTTTTTTGACCACACAAAATCACACTTTATAGTTCTTTCAAATCAAAGTGTTCATTCTGGAAGAATAAAAATTCAGCTGCTATTAATGAAAATGGCGGCAAAGCAAAACGATTCCAAATCACAACAAAAACGCTCGCCAGCTGTCTCTCATAATCCTCCATTTGCATTTTCCTTGTCATTGAGCCAGAAACATATCGATAGAATCCTGCAAGATTTTTTTCCCATCAGGCTCCGACATTCTAAGAATCTGTTAATCTGTTTAATCGCAAGAAAAGTTTTTTCTCCCTGAACCTTCGTTGTAAACAGCTTTTTTTTACTCACTGCAGTAAGCAGTAAACAGTTCATAAAATTTCATTTTTTTTCCAGAACTTTCGTCGGATTTAAGTATTCTGTTTATTACAGATTGCATTTGCCTGGTTAATTCTTGACCGTTTGCAGTTATGCCTTCTTTGAGTTGAGTTGTTCGGCGGATACGCTACTTAAAACGGCTTTCAATTTTCACACTGGATTTAATCCACGCTTTTTTCCCCCAAAGATATTTTATGGTGTTTTTTCAGAACAGTATTTTCCTTTCTTTTTTTTTTTTTTTTCTCCATTTAGTTTTTATTTAGCTTCAATTAGCGTTAATAATTTTTGTCCTTTTTCATCATTCTTTTTCGTGAATTATACGATAATGTAGACTTCTTTGTTTATTATGTCACTTTTGAATGTAATTCTGATCCCTTAAAAAAAAGATCCGTATCTAAGATTATTATGTTCCTTCACTCAAATGTTTTAACGCATTAAGCATTGAGCTTGTTTACGACGAAAATAACTTTCTAAACTCCATAATAATTGTTTCTTAAATTCTAGGCTTACTTTTGGCTATCAACAAAATAAATAAAAATAATATAAATAAAAATAAAAATATAATATAAATTTAACACATTAAGCATTGAGCTTGTTTATGACGAAAAAAAATTTTTTTAAATCTATAATAACGTTTCTTAAATTCTACTCTTACTTATGTCTATCAACATGATGACTACTATACTACTGTGCAAAAAACTTAAACATCGAACCTTTATGATGATTCACGCCGAATGATTGATGCGTATCCATTGCAATTTCATATTTCGAATTCTGAACGATTCGGGAGGATGTATGAATAATCTGCGCCATGATTTTTAAATGCGAATCGTTCACGGATTTTAATAGACGGATCGTTTGCCGCCTCCGTGTAAATACTGAATGAATATTTGAAAAAATGTATCAACATCAAGTGTCATCCACTGCAAGTTTAAAAAAAATGCATTTGAACCGAGTGGATGAATAAAAAGTGTTTTATGAATAATTGAAAATTTGAACAAGATATATATAGGAAGAGTGTGAGCTAATAGAAGTAATTGAAAAGGAAAACTATAGAAAATGCCATCAAAACATAGTGACACTGAATCTACGAGTAAATTTAAATTCCGATTCTCAATCCCAATAACAATTTCGCACTTTAAATAACTTAATTATTGAACCTCTATGACAATTTCCGCAGAATGATGGATTCGTATCCGTTGCAGCTGAACGTTTCGCATTCTGAAAATTCTGAACGAATCTAAATGATTTGGATCGATGTATAACTAATCTGCTCAGTGATTTTTAAACGTGAATCGCTCACGGATCTTAATAGACGGATCGTTTGCCACTCCATTTTGAACTCGGAAACACTTACGATGACGATTACGATTTAAAGATGGAATGAATGAAATAATTCAATCTTCTCCAGAAAGTCCATACATTTGTCACGGTTCCTGAACGACTTGATGAATGATGATGATGAAAATATCGTCTTCGATATCGATTGATACGCAATTATCAGTCTCTTACTATACGCGGGCATTCGAATGTTCGAAAAGTGCATTACGATATGTGCATACAGAAGAAACGCTGTTGCTCTCATGGAATGAGTAGTGTTGGATTCGATATCAGTTATATGTATTGTTATCGTTTTCTGTCGGGTGAAATAGAATTGCGTATTGAGCGTTATTGATCAGGTGGTATTGTGGAAAAAATTCATAAAGGTTGTGGTGATACAGAGAGCAGTGTTAGAATAATATTTGCCGTTTTCATTGAGCAGTAAAAGATTATCTTGAAAATTTATTTGTCGAACCCTATTTGCATTTTTCTCGATTATTATTTAATCTGTTTCGAATTTGAGACAAGTATAAAACGACCATTTATTTATTGTTCTTCCAAAATTTGTTATTTGTCCATTTAAAGCAGGGGTGGACGACCCAAATGCAGGCCCCTTTCTAAATGCATCCGCGGACCGCCTATAAAATTATGGATCCCCCTATTAGAGTTAGACCCATTATAGACATTTTGTTGAGGTGAAAATCGAAACACAATGATTTATTATTTTTTTTTTATTTACTATTACTCTTACATGTAAACAGAGATAATACAATAATAGTGATACTAAACGCACATTGTAAAGAACTATACAGCACTACTTAAAAATAAATGCTAAATATACAGCATACATTAAAATATGTAAATATAATGGAAATTTTAAAAAAATAATAAGTACTTTTTAAATGTCTTTGAATAGACGCGGGAAATTTCTCTAAATTTGCTTTCCTTCTTTAGTCATTCCCGCCCCTTATTTCGATGGAACCATGGGTTTTTGTAGTGGTTCGGAATCCACTTTAACATCGTAGGTCCCTGACTAAACTGATAGTAAAGCGTTGCGGGGGTAATGGTACTCCGCGTCCGTAGCTTATCTTCAAGTTACACGCACCTCCTGGAGAGTGCTAAATGAGTAAGGTAACGCCGAACACTTCCCAAATGCACCCCAGGCTGCTGTAGTCCACTTAGGGAACCTATGCATCAAGAGTAAAAATACAGAAAGGTTGATACTTTTCAGCATAGCGTGATCCCAGACAGACAAACGACCCCACTGCTATTATTTCCCTCGCATTTCAATTTCGGGATGCGCTCCCGGGCCTTTTCGCGAAAAATCGTTTGCTCGCGAGCACCCCTGTGAGAAAACAATTAGTTCGAGAGTGCTCTATCTCGGTATCATCTCACGAACTTTTCTAATGTTCGATAATTCATTCGCTGAGATAGAAGGATGATGAGGATGATTCTGCTCAATCGATTCCTTTGAATGTCAGATTGGATTTTAATTGGAGCATCAGCACAGCAATTTCAATTATTGGAATCGTAATCGATTTCTTTTTTTTAAAAAATCCTTCAGTTATGCGAAAAGCCTCCTATATGCAATTCTATGAATTTAAGTGTCATTTAAATTATGACTTCAAGTTATCGCATGGAGTGAAGTGAAAACAATTCCTGACGTTTGATTGGAGGAATGAAAGGGGCTTGATGATTTGAAAGACAATACTTCTCAATTCAATTGGAATTTTCAGTCGCATTTCAAGAAGGGATAATCGTCCTTCATTTCGAATGTTTTAAAAGGGAGGAAATGTTCTGAATTTTCCATTAGGAAGGTTTTATTGCTTTTCATAGGACGCCATTCATAGAAGGAATGACAATGAAGAAATTTAAATAGCTGTCTTTTGAAACTGTTGTCGTGTTTCTCTAGTAAAGATATTTATCTCAAAGAGAGAGCATTTTCACAAAGCGCAGTATCCTTCGTGCCCGGCGTGGGCCAGTGCCGCAACGGGTAACGCGCCTGACTACGGATCAGGAAATTCCAGTTTCGAATCATGCCTGGTTCGCCTTATCCGCTTTTTAAGCGGCCTAAAGGCCAAGTGGCTGGCGATCTGGCCGCTAGGGAACTTAGAGATTATGTGCATTAGAATAAAAACTGAACCTCTTACTTATGGAACCTGTGCTTCAAGAGTAAAAAAATACAGAAAAGTTGGTTCTTTTCAGCATAGCTGGATCCCAGACAGACAAACGACCCCACTGCTATTATTTCCCTCACCTTTCACTCTCGGATCCGCTCCTGGGGCCCTTCGCGAAAAATCGTCTGCTCGCGAGAACCCCTGTGAGAAAAACAATTTGTTCGAGAATGTTATCTCGGCATCATCTGAACTACCGGGAGAGAACTTTTCGAATGTTCGATTATTCATTCGCAGAGGTAGAACGATGATGATGATTCTGCTGCTCAATCGATTCCTTGAATGTCAGATTAGATTTTAATTGGTGATCATCGCAGCAATTTCGATTATTGTGATCGTAATCGATTCCTTTTTTTAAAAAATTCCTTTCCGTTATGCGAAAAGCCTCCGGTACGTAATTCTATGAATTTAAGTGTCATTTAAATTATGACTCAAGTTATCGCATGAACTGAAGTGAAAACAATTGCTGACGTCTGATTGGAGGAATGAAAAGGGTTTGATGATTTGAAAGACAATACTTCTTGAATTGGATCGGAATTTTCAGTCGCATTCCAAGAAACGGATAATCACACATCTTTTCGAATGCTTTAAAGGGATAAAATATTCTGAATTTTCCATTAGGAAGTTTTATTGCTTTTCATACTATAGGAGCATTCAAACTGATGCTTAAGGAATAGAAAATAACTTATTTAAATGGATATCTTTTGAAACTGTCGTCGTGTTTGCTGTAGTAAAAAAAAAATATTTATTTATTTAATTAAAATTTATTAAATGCTTAGTTTTTAAACTAAAATTATTCTTGTTTCTTTAATTCAGATATATTTATTTCAATTTCAATTTTGAAAGCTTTTTTTCTAATGCAGCTGGCAAACACTTAGACAGTTGTCTTGGATGCCTTAAGGCAAGAGCCGCACCGACGTTACTCAGGAGGTGCGTGTAGCTTCAAGATACGCTACGGACGCGGATAATCGTAGTAATCGTAATCAAAGTAACACTACCCAGCAACGCTCTGTGATACAATGAGACCGGAACCTACAGCTTAAAGTGAATTCCGAACCACTACCAACATTCATGGCACCGTCGGGACTCGAACACAAAATCTTGGGCCGAGAGTCAGCCATTTGGCCATCAATACCCACAGATTCAAGAATTCGAATGGAGATCTAATCTTCTACTCCAAACCCTTTAACTAATCAAGGAAGACTATACTAAGATTAAAATTCCTGCAAGGTTCAAATATAATAACTCAAAGAATAGAATGCAAATATCGTTTTCTTTTCAAACAGCCTTTCTTTTAATTCCCAATCTCAATTAAGAAAAGCATACTTAATAAAAATAATAATAAAAAAAAAAAAAATTTAAGTCAATTCCTGCTTTTTTCCCTCTATTGCAGAAAAGTCCTTTACAAATAAATTTGAAATTTTCCTCTTACATCTCGATTGAACTCGAGAGGATGAATAAAAATATCTTATGAACGATTGAAAATTTGAACAAGATATATATAGGGAGAGTGTGAGCTAATAGAAGGAATTAAAGAATTCCTGCAAGGTTCAAATATAATAACTTAAAGAATAGATTACAAATATAGTTTTCTATTCAAACACTTTTTTATATCCGACCTCAATTAAGAAAAGCACACTTAATGAATAAAAACTCTTCTTCATAATCCGACAAATATTATAAAAATCGAAAAACATTATAAAGTACCAAACAAAACCACACCGATACATATGTTATGAGAGTTGCTAAAGAACACGCGCCAAAATAACACTTGATGTAAATTGCCCTGCGAAGAAAAAAAAAAAAAGGAACAGTTTTCAATCTTCTAATGTTACCGTTGGAACCAAACACACCAACCCCTCTGCATATTTTATGAGAATTGCAAATCAACACGCGCCAAAATAACACTTGATGTGAATTGCTTTGCAAGCGACCGAAAAAAATAACAGTTTCAAATCCTCTAATGTTACCATTGCAAACGCGTGGACTCCAATGAAGGAAGAACTTCTTCAACAAGTCCAACAAGCATCGAAACTGGTTGCGTGTCTCCTATCATTAGCAATCTGAAGAATTCGGCAGTGGGTAGTGGGTAGGAGGGGTACTACACCCTTTCACTACACTCTTCTGAATAATTTAAATACTATCTTATTAACTACACTGCAAGTTGTGTTCGCTTGCGAAGTTTATTAGCACTGCAGACTCAAAAACATCGACTGCTGCAATTTTTATGCAGATGGTTCTTAAGTGTAGGGTCATTAATGACGTTATATCAGGAGTGGGGGTTATTTTTACGTGGACTGATCATTAGACTTTATTTTTGACTGTTGAGTGTCTTGTAACCTGATAATACAGTCGTTACGCGGAGTGTTTTTTTTTTTTTTCACATTTGGTTCTTTTAAAGGGAATCGATCTTCTGCTGAACCAAAGTTTTTTTTTTTTATTCATGTTGTATGGGCATTTTTTGGAGTGATGTTGTTAAATTAGGTCATAAAAAATGGACAAAACATGAACACTAAAATTTGAACATGTATATTTTTTATTATAAAATATAAACATGTGTATATTTTTCATTTCCTTCTATTCGCTCACACTCTCCCTATATATATGTTGTTTAAATTTTCAGTCGTTCATAAAATATTTTTTATTCATCCACTTGAGTTCAAATACATTTTTTGAAACCATAGTGGATGACACGTGGTGTTAATGCAGTTTTTCAAATACTAATTCATTCATTCAATTAAATTAATTCATTTTAGATTTTATTTAATTTAAGTTGCATGTATCTACCAATAGATGGCGCCAGATATACTTAAAAAAGGAATGAAAATTATTTAAAAAAGTCTTTTTGCAATATAGAAAAAAAAGTAGGAATTGACTTAAAAATATTTTTTTTTATATTATTTGTTTTTGAACCAAAGTTTTTTTATTCATGTTTTATGGACTTTTTTAAAGTTCTATTGTTAAATTATTGTTGTTTTAATGCAGATGGCACTACAGAGGCGGTTAGTCTTTCTGCCACAAACAAGAGCTGTACCGCTGTTACTCATTCAGCACTAACCCGGAGAGCATGTGTAGCTTGAAGATAGGCTACGGACGCGAGTCACACTATTGTTAAATTAGGTTCTAAAAAATTGACAAACATGAACCTTAACATATGAACATGTGTATTTTTTGTTAACATTTTGGGAATTTTTTTTTTTTTTTTTTTTTTTGACTTTTACGATATCACAAAAGAATAGGCAAAATATGTCACTTGCAGACATATATTTCTGATACGTACATTAAACTAAAAAAAAAGACAATTTTCAAAAGTATATCTGAGTGAGAGCTAATCGAGTGACAGCGAAACTACAAGGTAAAAAAAGCGATTATTTTCAATAAAAATATTAATAAATATCTTCTACATTTAAAATCTTTTACTTTAATAATTGCAAGATATCACTGAAAACAAACACGGATCGGCCACGGGTGCGAGTAACACTATCGTTAAATTAGGTTATAAAAAATTGGTGAATATGAACTTTAAAATATGAACATGTATAGATTTTTGTTATCATTTTGGGAAAAGAAAATATTTTTTTGGACTTTACGCTGACCCTATCATCCTAGCATCCCTATAATATCCCTAGAATCACATATATTTCTGATATATACATTAAAATCAAAAGAAAGACAAATTTCAGAAGTATAACTGCGTGAGAGCCAATCGAGCTAGAGCAAAATTTATAGGTAAAAGAAAGCAATTCTTTTTAATAAAAATACTAATAACTCAGTTCTACATTTAAAGCATTTTACTTTAATAAATGCGTAATAGCGAAAAACGAGGAAAAGTGAACATCTATAAATTTCCATAAGCGGAATTAAAGAGAAACTCCATTTGAATAGCGTGAACGAAATGAAGAAATAGGAGTCAAATCAAAGATGTTTTCCATATTATGTTAATATTATTTCTTTTGAGCAGATATATCGTTTGACTCCTATTTTATTATATCATTCAATTTATTCGAATTAATTTTCTCATTAATTCCCCTCATGGACATTTAAAGATGCACATTTACTTATTTTGAAGAACAGTTTTCACATTACAACGATTCCACTTGTTCATTTATTCTTTTTTAAATAAATTATATCATTAAAGATTTAACTTACAAATTTATTCAAGTTTACATTTTTTTATAAATACCTTTAAGCCTTAACATATTACCCTTCAGGAATATTTCTTTTATGCATAACCATTTTTTGAGAAATTTTTTTTAGTTAAAAAAATTATATATATATATATATATTTCTATTGAAACATTAGTTTGAAAGACATAAAGTTTTTCACTCTAATTAATTAGACACCGGAAATTATTTTAGAAAAAAAAATTCGGTACCATCTTCGTAGGCATAAAAAAGTTTCCAGTGAATTACGTTAAATGTGGTTCTAAAGCCAGATTTAAGCCAATTGGGAAAACATATTGAAAAGACATGTTTGGACTTGAACAAAAGGCAACAGATATGATTTCAAAATGGCATTACAAAAAAAAAAAAAAAATATTCATACGAATTAAATCACACGGAAGAAAATTAAAAAAACAAAATACTCCTTTGGAAAGTTATAATAGAGATTAATTTGAACTGAAAAAAATTATCTTTCTATTCAAAAATAAGATATAATAATAAATGGAAAAATATATTTACTGACTTTGATAAAAAATGCCCTTTTAGAAATTATAAAGATTATTAAATTTATTTTAATAAATGAGGCTTGATATAATGGAATTTGAAATGAAAAAAAAAGACAAAATTTAATAAGTGGAAGAAAAATATAGGTTTTAATTTTTTTTATAATAAAATAATTTAATTATTTTTTTTAAATTTAATTTTCTAAC